CCACTTTATTATCGCTTTCTGGCCCACGTGTGATAACGTCCTTAGGATTCCCTGGTGTCCTGGCCCCTGCTTCTTGCAGAAGTATGGTCCCAGGATTTCCTAGGGGAAAGGCATGTGAGCCAGCCAAGACACACAGAGAAAAAGAGACGTTACAAGCAACTTTGCATGATCTGGAGCTAGGGTCCCAACCTGGGGTGCCCACATCCCCTGGGGGTGCAACATGGAATTTTAGGGGGTGAAACAAAGAGCGGCTTGTTTCCTTGAGTGATGAGTCACAAACCATCACTCATCCCCCCCCAGGAATAAATTAGAATCTAATTGCTCAATTTAGATTTGCATTTTATGAACTGAGTCAAAAGCATTTTTTTAAAAAAAAAGTTCAATTTGTTCATCTGCAGTATGGTTCAATTTATGGTTCATGTGGTTCAATTTATGGTTCAAAATTCAAAAATTAGAAAGTAGATTTCTTCATCTTCAAATGTGATAATACTTTTGTAGTAAAAACAAATGTGATATTACTTTTGCAAACATTAAACAAACATTTCCTAGGGACGTAGAAAAGGTTAGAGAATCTAGACCAGAATTTGGGAAAGTTACTATTTTGGACTACAGAACTCCCAGTGTGCATGACCACTTTTCCTGTTAGTTGAGGATTCTGGGATTTGTAGTCTGAAATGGAAAATTTCCAAGCTGTGGTTTGGACTTATTTGTGAACTCGGGAGAGATATCTTCACAGTGAAGTCTATAGCAGGGGTCGGCATACCTTTTGGCAGTGGGGCCAGTTCCGCTGTCCCCCAATCGTCAGCGGGCCAAAGGGGGGAGTGTGTGTGCGTGCTCGCGCGCATGCACATTACTCCTGCTGTCGTGCGCATGCATGCATGAGTGCACAACGGTGGGCGCCATTTTGGAAAGCAAAATGGCGCCTTGCATAGTGCGCAGCAGCGGCAGAGGCAGGACTGGCCACGGGCCAGTTACAAGCCTCAATGGGCTACGTTCGGCCCGCGGGCCATAGTTTGCCGACCGCTGGTCTACAGGCTTGATATAGTAGTACTCCATTGGGAATGCAAAGTTTTAGATTGCAACTGTCCTGTATATTTTAATTATTTGTATACTACCCATAATAAGAATTGATTTCCAGGCAGATTACAAGTCTTAAACCAACACAGGAACACATAAAGCCTGAAATTAAGAAATTTGACCAGTAGATAAAAGATCAGAAGATAATGTATTAAAATATAAGAATAGCTTTTTATTTACTCTAAAAGTACTCTAAAAGAAGGCAATACTAATGCCAACCGAGCCTCCTCAAAGATATTTCATGAATGGGGGCACTACAGCCAACAGAGCCATCAAGAGGATGCCACCCAAGGGGAAGGCACACAGAGAAAGGGCATTTGTTGTCATCAGTAAATCAGATAGGCCAGTCTGAGCAGCAGTTTAGAGCAGTGGTTCTTAAACTTTTCTTTACCAGGGATCTTCTTTAAATATCTTTTGTTGCTATGGACCCCCCAAGACATAACTCAAGATTCAAAACCCTAATAATAACAACAGCAACAACAACAACAACATACCTGAACACCGATACTATCATACTTTTATCATACCATGAGAAGACATGACTCACTAGAAAAGACAATTATGCTTGGTAAGGTAGAAGACAGTAGGGGGAAAAAGAAGACCACATTGCAGATGGATAAACTCAATCAAGAAAGCCACAGGCCTGAGTCTGCAAGACCTGAGCATAACTGTTTAGGATAGGGTGACTTGGAGATTTCTTGTTTATAGGGTTGCCATAAGCTGAAATCAGCTTAACAGTAGTTAACAACAAGTCCTAACCTTGGGGATCCACATCTAGATAAAATTGT